CTGAATCAACGGCGCATGAACTTCCAATCGCGCGTATCCACAACTACCGTGCACGAACTCCTCTTCGCCGACGACTGCGCCCTGAACACCACCTCCGAAGCGGAGATGCAACGGAGCATGGACCTATTCTCCGCCGCCTGCGAGAACTTTGGGCTGGTCATTAACACGCAGAAGACGGTGGTGATGCACCAACCGCCGCCCAACTCAACCACAGCCCCCAACGCGCCGCCGCAGATCAGCGTGAACGGAAATCAACTGCAAGTGGTAGAGAACTTCTCGTATCTGGGCAGTACCCTCTCCCAAAACACCAAGATTGATGACGAAGTCGCCAGCAGGATCTCGAAAGCCAGTCAAGCCTTCGGTCGTCTCCGAAACACAGTTTGGAATCGCCACGGTCTCCAACTGAGCACGAAGCTGAAGATGTACAAGGCCGTCATCCCGCCGACGTTACTATACGGAGCAGAGACATGGACGGTGTACATGAGACAGGCACGCCGACTGAACCACTTCCACCTCAGTTGTCTCCGTCGCATCCTGAGGCTGAACTGGCAGGATCGAATCCCCGACACGGAAGTACTGGAACGAACGGGAATCCTCAGTATCTACGCCATAATGAGACAAATGCAGCTGCGCTGGAGCGGCCACCTGGTGCGCATGGATGACGAGCGACTACCCAAACGACTCTTCTACGGAGACGTCGCGACGGGTTCTCGTCGTCAAGGAGGCCAAATTCGCTGTTACAAGGATACCCTGAAGTCCTCCCTGAAGCGCCTGCAAATCAACCCGACCAACTGGGAGGAGCTCGCTCGCGATCGCCCGACATGGAGGAGAACAGTGAAGACTGGAGCTGCCATCTATGAAGCCAACCGAATCGCCGCCGCCAAAGCGAAACGCGAAGCCCGCAAATCACAACTTCGCCCAGTCCGCAACGCCGCCGCACAACCTCTCCCTACGTGTCCTCGATGCCACCGGACATTCCGGGCACGAATCGGACTTGTTGGACATCTTCGAACCAATTGCACCTCTCGAACTGCTCCAGCCATCGTTCCCCCGCCCGCCTCTTCCTCGCCCTCTCTGCCGCCAACTAACTCTGACACTCCTTCTGCACCACCACTACCATCCTCCTCCTTCTCCTCCACTGCCCCAGCGACGGCCGTTCAGGCTGCCGTCTCACACATCGCCAACCAAGACACAACAACCGCCACCACCCCCACCCCTCCCGATTCCAGTGATGAGGATCAGGACTACACCTGCCCTCACTGCGACCGCACCTTCACCTCACACATCGGCCTGGTCGGTCACTTGCGAATCCATCGCACAGAGACTGGCGAACCAGTGCCTGGAGCACCAACCTACACCCGCCGCACTCGTCTCCACTGCCCACACTGCCCTCGCACCTTCACGCATCGCATGGGTCTATTCGGCCACATGCGCATCCACGAGAGCGGAATTGACCGCAGCCTTGACACACCCACCCCGCCGAGCCCCACTCCCAATCCACCACCTTGTGCACCCACTAACCACTCCCCAGCCGACATCGACGCCACCGACCTTACCACCCCTCACTCCTCCCCTTCCTCCTCCTCTTCCTCCTTCACTGCCACAACGACGGCCGCTTCGGCGTCTGTCGCCCACGACCTCACCACAGCCGAACCTGACACAACAACAGGCACAACCCCTGCAAACTCCATCATCCGACGTGAGGGCCAGGGCTACATCTGCCCTCACTGCGATCGCAACTTCACTTCACGCATTGGCCTGGTCGGTCACTTGCGAATCCATCGCACAGAGACTGGCGAACCAGTGCCTGGAGCAGCAACCTACACCCACCGCACTCGCCTCCACTACCCACACTGCCCTCGCACCTTCACGCATCGCATGGGTCTATTCGGCCACATGCGCATCCACGACGACCTGCGGTAGACAACCGCCGGTCACACCACACATCCCCTCACCCCCTACCTCCTAACACCATCACCCCACCAGACATCAACCCTCACACACCTCATGCACTCAACTGCCGCCTCCCACGCAAGTGCGAAGTGTGCATCTCGACTCGGTCTCCATGCGGCTTCGGCTGCACGGGTGACTTGTGTCCGAGACTATCCCGACACGTCAAGCGTCGTGGATAGGAAGGTTGCTGATTGAGGCCCGCTCTCGGTTCACGCAGTTCGTCACGTTGTGTGTGTGTTGTGTGTAGTGGCGGACTGGTGGGCTGGGGACGGGCTGCAACAGCACCTTCCACGGCACTCTCACGCAAGTGAGAGACACGCCGTTCAACCCCCGTTGTGTGAAATCCTGGTGTTTGTGTGTATGGGGGGCCAGGTCGTGCTGTGGCGCGCGCAGGCATGGTCAGTCGTCCATGACAGCCACCGCGCCCGTTCCCCACTCCAGTCTGTTGACCGGCTCGGACAGCGGCTGGGGTGTGGGAATGGGAAGGGAGAGTGAGGTCGACGACTCAGCGCATTTTCCTCACTATAAACAATCTGACGCGCTTGAAGCTATCACGGTGCGCTAAAAGCCGTGGCTTGGAAGGTTGCCAACTGACGGGGTAACTTTGACCTCCTCCTTGACCGGAGGCGGTCTGAGAGTCAGGCTGCAATGGCTAATTTTTAATATGGCCTTTCTGGCATTCCCACCACAGTGTGGGATCCGAGCCAGGCGTTGGCGGCACGCCCAGGTGCGGCTTCGGCCGTGCCAGCCTCCAAATCTCTGTTGTGTTGGTTGAAATCCTGGTTATTGTTGTGTGGACCAGCGGGTTTGGTGGAACGCCAAGGTGAGGATCCGTCCGAGCCATCCACCTGCGGCCTCTCTCGTCTCCGGTCTTCTTGACTCTGTCTTGACACCGGGCTCGTACGAGGGAGGAGGAGAGAGTGTAGATAGATGCTACGCAAGTCTACTGGCACTATAAACCCCTGTGTAAGTCACCGTCCCTGCTCCCACCGCTGCTGCAGCTGTGGGGCACACGGTGGACATCGTCGAAATCGACGGTCGAACTATTGGTTGCCTCTCAGTCCATGACTGACTGGTTGCCCGGCCCTTGAAGCGTGATGGCCCAGATTAAGTGCAGAGCAGTCTCTCAGTCTTCTGGGTTTTAAGGATTGTGTGCGTATGATGCGCCATTATTCAGCAAACCATGGCCCTCGCAGCCTGGTGTTCGCTGGCAGTTCTCTGACACCTGGTTCCTTGCCAGTAGGTGCACTTCCGCTCAGGCTAGGTATACGTGTTATGTGCGTGGTTGCCCAGCCGTCGTCGTCGTCTTTCTGACCCGTTGTAATGCTGTTGTTATTGGTTAAAATACTGGCCAAGTGTTTGTTGTCGACCAGGAAATGTGGTTGTAGGCCTAGGTGCGGGTTCATCCGCCGTGCCAGCCACCTGCGCCCTCAAGCGTCTTCGATCTTCTTGACTATGTCTTGACACCTGGCGCAGCAGAGTGAGGAAGGCAGATGCTGCGAAAGCCCACCCTCATTATAAACTAACTCACACACGAGTCACCGTGCCTGCTCTCAGCTTGCTGTGGAACACACGCCAACATCATCGACAACGACGTTCGAACTGTCAGGTCGCCAATGTCGACTGTGGTGCCGAACTGGACCTCCGCCCTCGTTGACCACGACGATAACTGACCGCCCCGATTTTACCGCCCCTTCATTGTCTCCTGTCCAGTTGGTTCGTAAAACCAGATATGGGACGCAAATTTATGTAGCGGTTGATTGAGTAGTCGGCGGACACTTACGTTTCCTTCGCCTATCTTGGTGTGATCATCGCCTCGGCCCACAAGTTCAATAGCATCAAATTTAAGGATGTATCCTATCTGAGCAACATGGATTGCTACCTTCGACTACTTAATGCTCATGAATTCACTTTTGCAGCCGCCGGCCATCTCCCTGACGTAATTGTAATTCCCAAAGCTGCACCCGAGACGGTAGACAATAGCCGACTTCTACTAGTTAGGGGAAAGATCTTTTGACCGCACCACTTGCTGGTGAACTGGTAAGTCATGTCTGAAAGTAACTCCTTTCCAGAGTGACGCGAGGGATCAAGCCACAGTCTCAGAGACCCTCTGCATATATGGAATGCTCCGCCATGATTTCGGGTAACTGTATTTTTCCTTGCTCTCCCGTCGTGGCACTCGATCCCTCTCAACGTGTGCTCATGAACAGCCGGTCGATCTGAAGAGCTCTCGAATGGGCTTCATCAAGTTTTGTTTGCGCTATGCCAGTATATCTTGCACACACGGCTTTATTTGTTTCAGCTGGAGATTTCTGTTGTAGCCGAGTATTTGCAGCATGTTCGTCGGCTTTCAGTGGACTGTCATCACCAGTTTGAGGTCCGGTTTTCCTCAGACGAAAAAACACAAGATCGGAAGTCTGTCCTCCACTTCCTTTTCCGTCGTGAATTGGGAATCGGGTATGATCGGCTTCAGCTGTTCTCTGTGGGAGCCAATCCGGTCCAGATCGACGATAAAAAGTTTCTTCACCGTAGTATGCCAAAATTGGGTTTGTACTCCTCGAAGAGACGTCTATCGAGTTTTTGTAGTAGCGCTTCGGCGATGGGCATGGCGATTTGCGAGCCCATCGAGGTGTCCTTAGTTTTTTCATACAGGATCATTCAAAGGTGAAGATGTCCCGAGACAGCGCCCTCTATGGGATCCTGAGCTGTGGGCTAGTCATCGTTGCCATTGTAGGTTTCACACTGCAGGTCCCTGAGTGTTTCGACCGCGAGGGCCTGTGGTATAGGCGCGAAGAGTGCGGCAACATCAAATGACAGCATCCCCTCTTTTGCTTTGGTTTTAGTCACCTTTATTTTGCCGGGGAATTTCTCTGATAAATGTACCTTTGCCTGTGAACCCACGGTCAGGAACAGCGGCCTCTGGAATGCCCAGCTGGGAAGTCCGTATATGGGCGTGCGTCAGAGTGAGACAATTGGCCGGAGGGGACATCTGGTCTGAGCACTTTTGGGAGGCCGTAGAATCGCGCCGTTGGCACTTCTGTGGGCTTTACCATATAGCAGCCTCTGGGGGCGATTACCTTATCTTTCCTTAGTCTAATCAGAATTCTGTTCATCTTTGCCAGCAGGCAGAATAACTATTTCGGTGCCAGCTTGTAGCTTCTTTAGTGCCTTTCGTCCCTCTCTTAACAGCGACTGGATTTCTCGGTGTGACATGAACAGTAGAGTGACTGGGTGTCAAAGGAGGTATTTTATCTCGCCTGAGACTCCACATTGTTGCATCACCTGCTCGAAG